AGACCTGTTGACACCCAATGCGTTGTTCACAAGCAAAGTGTAAAGTGACTACGTCTAATGTAAATGCATATGAGTTGCTATAAGAAGTTTATTCCGCATACAATAGACTGTCTATGAGCGAATATAGAAGAATTACAATAAATGCAAGCACTCATGGGTCATAACAGGGGATTCGTTAGTTCACAACAAACTACCTTTATAAAGCAACAAGTAGTGCACAATAATCTACCTGTATGAGATAGGCAAATGACCATAGTGCAATGCCACACCACCGGATATGTAACATCCATACAAGTGGATAGAAGACATTTATAAATATTCTAAAAATATCTTCACACATGCACTATAATATGTATTGACATGTATATATAAGGGGATGTATAAGAAACCCTCATGGGCCCTGATGAGCGTGTTATGAATTTATATATAACATCTAAGGATGCTGTGTGGGTTAATAAATGAACCACAGTTTGAGCCTGATCCTTCTATATAGATAGATAGGAGTTGACATGACTCAAATTATCAAAAAGATATATAGTCAAGGTGTTGACCAAAATATCTATTTTATACATTCATGTAAGGCCTTCAAGGTCTATGAAAAATGAATTTCATTAACAAAAAATATAAAGCCTATGGACCCAATCCTCTATCAACAAGTAGATAAAGTTGATATGATCTAATCAATAAAATATAATAGCCTGTTAACACCCCAATGATGACCATGTTGAATAAAAATCATAATGGGAGGGGTCAATTTCAAACATCCAAAGTTTCACCTAAATTTTCATGAAATCCAAAAAATCTAAAAATTTAAAATATTTAAAATTAAAATAAACCATTAAATAACTTAAAGCAAAACTTATTCACCCTATGTAATAGTTTGTAAAGGGGGACAAATTAAAAAATACTTCAACTTAAATAGAGCTAATGTCTGGTTAAGAATATCACTAAGATTCATTCTCAAATAATCTCCTGTCAGTAGGAATATAACACGTATCCTCTAACCAATGATTTTGTTGCTAAATGGCACCTTAGGTAAACTGTTATGACTGGGGCCCTCTAAATTGGGTGGTTTGCCGCCAAATGACACCACTACATTATAGTTATAGCTAGAACCTATATGCTCTCCAATGGCATTAAATACTTGATATATGAATCAATATGATATAAATAATAGGGCAAAAAGCTCTCTGTTAGCTAAGGTGGATTCAAATTTGTTCCCTTAGATAAACACTAGCACAGGTCTATAAGATACCCTTGGACGAAGTAACCCATGGCTACTGATAAGGATCATTTTGTCAGGTTATGCTGACTACCTCCTCTAACTAAGTAGACCATATACCACAATGTCTCGAGATGACAAAAACATGGGATCTTGATCAAGTCTATCATCCATTCCCCACCATCTATTTTAAGTGCAAGATGGTAAATTTCTAATTTTAAATATTAAACTTCAAATGCCCTAAACCCATGCTGCTACTATAAGCCAGATAACACATATTTCTATGTATCTGATTGATGACTAACCTTAATCAAAAGTTCTCTCTCGTTATCATAAGGGGTAATTAACTATAGGGGCTTACGCCTATATGAAACCAAAACTCATATCATTAAGTCCTCACAAAATAAGGGTGAAATCTCTGTGTAGGGTCTTATTTACAAACTCATCTATCTTCCCAAAATTTACCCCAAAACTTAATTTCGTTAAAAATCCCCCAAAAAAATAGCGGGGAAGGCCAGGCCCGAATTTTTGGAGTCCACATTGATGTATTGGTAAAACTAAAGTTAGAGAGGCTTTAAGCAAAATGAATTGTGGAAAAGTTGTTGGACCTGATGATATCCCAATAGAGGTGTGAAAATGCTTAGGAGATGAAGGAATTTCTTAGCTTACAAAACTATTTAATACTTTTTTGAAGACTAAAGAGATGCCAGATGAGAGGAGATTGAGTGTGTTAATTCCTATTTTAAAGAATAATGGTGATGCACAAGATTGTGCAAATTATAGAGAAATTATGTTAATGTGACATACTTTAAAACTATGGGAGTGAGTTATGGAGCGTAGGTTGCGGCGTTATACTAATGTTTCTCAAAATCAATTTAGATTCATGTCGGCTAGGTCTACTATGGGAGCCATACATTTATTGAGAGGTTTGATGGAGGAATATAGAGAGAATAAGGATGATCTGCATATGATATTTATTGATTTAGAGAAATCATATGATAAAGTTCCAAGAGAAGTGCCATAGAGAGTTCTTGAAAGAAAGGAGTTAATAATGCTTACATTCAAATCTTTAAAGATATGTATGCAGTAACTATTGCTTGTGTTCAAAAACAAGGTGGTTTGACAAAGTATTTTCCTATTTTGATTGGATTATATCAAGAATCAGCCTTAAGCCCATATTTTTTTGCTTTATTCAAAATTTTTGACTAGACATTTTCAAGAGGATGTACCATGGTATGCTTTTCATTGATGAAATTCTTTTTGTTGATAAGACTATAGAGGGAGTTGAAAGTAAACTTGAATTATGGAGGTCAACACCAACTTTTTTGCTTTATTCTTGATGTTGTATGATCATTTGTTTTAGAAAATCAAATGAGTTTGAAACATTTTTTAAATACTTGAGTGTTAAATAAATAAGTTTGAACAACTATATGTTCAGCTTGTTTATGCTCATGAATAATATCAATTAAATTTTGTGAACCAACTCGATATAAAGCTCATTAAGAAACTCGATTAAATTTTTATCTTCTCATACTTTCACATTATTTTTAGTTTTATTATAATAAATGATTCTTATTTTATAAAAAAATAATTTAATTTTTATGTTAGACTCTTTTAATATAATAAATTTGTTCACGAACAAGAGGTATTTGTTCATATTTGCTGGATTATTTATTTTAAGTGTTCATGAATAAACTCTAATCCACTTAACAATTTAATAAGACCTTTATGAATTAGTTTCTGGAGTAGTGATGGCATATTCACAAAACTAAATAATTTCTGAAGACCAATTTTTGTAGAAACATATTTTGGAGAAGTAGTACTATTGAAATTTTAACAATCTCATTTGCTAAAATAATATTAGTAGCAATACTTCTAACTTTAATGAATATAGCTTGTACTAGTTGAATAAGATGAGGGATAATAAGTCTTTGGCCTATTATTCAACAATCAAGGAATATCATTTATAAAACATGTTTTACAAGAGAATATGCTTATAATTAGGAGAGAATTAGTGTTAAAGTGTTAAGAAATAAGAGTTATAGTCATAAGCTTTATAATTTGTAGAAGCTTATATGTGTGAAAAAATAATCATAGCTTTGATAAAATGATTTTTCATAATATTCTAAGTAGTCTTAAAAATTAGATGTAAAATTATAAAGTTCAAGCGTTTTATCTGCTCCAATATTAAACACTAAAGGCTTCATTTGTGAGAGTTTTCTTAATGTTTTCTAAAACAGCTTTTTAGTTAAAAAAATTTTGAAGTATAATTTTGCGTATTAAAAAGCTATTTTAGAAAACAATGAAAGCTGTTCGAAATGAAGTCTAAAACTTTAATATCTTGATATGAGAAGCGAGCAATAAGGAGTTATTGATCTTGAGAAGGAAGAGTGGAGTCAAGTGGAAAATGATTACCAGGAAAAGAGTGATAGAAAACAATGAGGTCTTAATTATAAAGAACATTGGATTGTCAAGTAACTTCATTAGAAAAGTACCAAGGAGAAAAAAAAAAGGTAATTTAGGAGAAATTTTTTTCATAAGATTGTGATTTTATTTACCTTTAAATTTTAAATATGATAAATTTGTTAGATCCATTGTGATTAAAAAATAACAATGATATCAAGTTCACAATTTATAATTCCAAATTCTTTCATTTATAAATTTTAATACAAACTAAGAAAAATTAAATAATTAATTTTTAAAAAATATATTTTTTTATGAACAATCAGTCAATTGGTCTCTTATTATATCAACCAAAAAAAAATATTATGCGTATTTTAGGGGCTGTTTGGTATTGGATTTACAGCGGGATTTAAGTCGGATTTAGGCTAAATCTAGCCAAACAGTTTTTGTGCGCGCGTTAAATCCCGGGATTCAGTAAATCCCAGATTTACGGATTTATAGCTTAAATCCGGGATTTAGTAAACCCGAGGGGTAGTCGGATTTAGTAAATCTGAGCTGGATTTATCCGAAGAAGCGCACAAAAGGGAGAAAGTTACCTTCACAGCCAGCGAGCTCTCGTTCTTGCTTCCGATCAAAATGTCGTAGCTTCCGATCAAAATGCCGTAACTTTCGATCCGGGTTGAAGTCGTCGCAGGAGCGAAGTCGAACAGGACGCCTGCAATCTCTACACCTCCCGCGAAAGCAACGGAGCCGAACAACAACGATGAAAAGAGAAGATGAAAAGCAAACCCTAGACGCCTCTGTATTATTGATTAACTTAATTAATATAATTTAAAAATTAATACTTAAGTAAATTAATTAAATAATTAATTGTATAATTAGTGCATAAATTAATTATCTAATTTAACTTAATTATATAATTAGAAATTAAATATTAATATAATTGATTAATTAATATAATTTAATATATCTATTATTAATATATAATTAATGGTATAATAATATTAATGGATAATTTGTACTTAACATATTATTAAATTTATAATACATTATTTTTTTAGTTTTTAATTATAACTTATTTTTAAGTTATAATTATCTTCTTCACATTTAAATGTCTAACTACTATAAATCTTGAAATATGTTACCAAACAGTTTCTCTGGATTTAACAGGATTTAACATTTAGCATACCAAACAATTTTCAAGATTTAACACATTTCGGATTTACTAAATCCGAATTTACTGGATTTACTAAATCCCACTAAAGTTAAATCCCACTTGTTGTCAAACAGCCCTTAGAGAAAAATCAGAAGAGCTTCAGGACAATCATTTCTAGGAAGTAAAAGTAAAATAAAAACAAATTAATCTCCTTCGATCTTTTGATCGACCTCTCTCTCTTTCTGTGTTGTACTGCCCCTCTTCTCTTCGCTCCGACGAATCTCTGATTTTGAAAGGTTAGGCAAAGCTAGGCTCAAAATGATGGCCAGTAGCGGCGGGAGCAACGGCGGATGCGCTTCAGATTCCAAGGTGGAGACTATCGCTCGGTTAGCACAGTGGCGGATCGAGAACTTTGGCCCCTTCTCTACTCGCCGCTCCGACCCTTTCAAGCTCGGCATCTGGAACTGGTTGCTCCCTCCATCATTCTCTCTATTTCGATCAAGTAATTGAATTCGATTCTTTGGATGAATTTGTTAAATTTATTGTTTCGATCAAAGGTATCTGTCCGTTGAGAAGAATCGGTACTTGTACATCCGTCTCTACCCGGAGCCGTCGCGTATCACTAAAGAGCAGCCGCCGCTTGTTAAGTTTGTTCTCAGGGTATCCAATTCCGGCCCAGGCCGTCGCCCCTACGTTTCCCCAGGTGGCTTTCTTGGCTTTCTTGCTATCCCGATTACGCTTTTATTATTATTATTATCGTCTTTTTCATTTTCAATAAATTAAGAATTAGGAGAAAATTATTAGAATCTATCAAGTTTACGAACTTACTGTTCTGTGTTTTCGTGATGGTGACGGTGGTTAAGGGGATGATGCTGGTGAAACAAGTTAAATACACTAGTAAGGTTCTGCGTCATGGACAGTGAAAATAAACAAAAGGGATTGTTAAATAAAAGAGAACAAGCCAAGGCCCTTTCATGAATGGGTAAGGCTTCCATGAAAGCCAGAGAACGCTATAAGTTAACCTTCATCTTACCTCTCCTTTGAATTATCACGCACCTTAGGCATTTAACTTATTTATAAGGGGAAAGAAAGAGATATATATTAAAACTATTATAAATGTAAAGTAAATATAATTTTAATTTTCATGTTCTAAAATTGCATGAAAAGTTTTTGTGGATCACACTCTTACATTATATGGAACTCTCATATATCAAAGGGGTGGAGTAGGTTTTAAGATAGGATTGACTTGACTTTTATATGGTGTTAACTACTTCATGAAATAACAAGTCAATCTTAAAATTGCAAACATAATATGCCAATATCCTAGATTTATTTAGCATTGTTTCCAACCAAATAAAAGAATTTAACAACAAACAAAAGACAAATATTACCACTTAATTTGAAGATGCCTTGATGATGAAGTAGAAGATCCCCTTTTGAAATGACAGTAATTTTGAGGATGATAAACTTGGTAGAGCGGTTCCAAGGTAGGTTATTCCTTGTAGCGATAAAGATGTCTCTTTAGATTGTGAAGTTTCTTTATTTTAGGTGGAAGGCTAAGAGAATTTGTTTTTTTTTTGCCTTTGATATCATATGATGAAGTGTTTAAGAGGTTTCTAGGGTTTTTTGGAGTGGTGCTTGAAGGTTTAGAGTTGGTGGAATGTTAAGAAAGACAACAACTAGTTTTAGGATTTTAGGACATGTTTCTTGCTAAAATTTATAGTAGTAGATAGCTGGATTTATTTTAGTACAAAATTATCGGAACTCTAAATATGAAGTCAATAAATATTAGCTAACTAATGATGGTGATTTTAACTTGATTAGATGTATGATAAGGAAGTTATGATTTTTTTTTGTGTATTAGTCACAATGAGTGGACAAGAAAAGTTTTGTTTTGTGAGGAAAAAAGGCTCAATTTTTAATGAGGCTAAGGAGGCTTTAGATATGGGGAAGATGGTAGTGATGTAGGAGAACAAGTTTAGAGAGGGAGAGGGATATATTAGAGTTCATAAATCTTAACTATAATTCACTAATCAATCCAAAAGCTAGTTGCACGCGGCACGCCTAACATTGAAATAAGAAGAGAAGCATCACAGACAAATGAAACTGATTCAAAATGGTATAGCCTTTGTGTCATGTTAAGAGTCAAACATTTAAATCTAATAAAGAAAAGTCATTTCTAATATTTTATAACCAAATTTCTTTTTAGGTTTATCTCTACCTTTCTTAACATGGGTCAAATCTAATACATCTACTCTCCTAATAGGGTCATCGGAAGGCCTCCGTTTTACATGTCCAAATCATCTAAGGAGGCTCTCTCTAATCTTATCTTTCACTGGAGCTGCTCCAACATTTTTACGGATGTGCTCATTCCGTTTCCTGTCTCTAAGAGTAAATCCAATCATCCACCTGAGCATCCTTATCTCAGCAACATTTAACTTAATATTATGCTTCTCTTTTAATGACCAACATTCTGCACCATAAAGTATTGCATGTCTCACCACCATCTTATAAAATTTTTTCTTAAATTTGAGTGGTACTTTTCTATCACACAACAAACCCGAATCATTCCTCCACTTTAACCATCCAACTTAATTCTACTAATAATATCTCCATCTATTTCGCCATCACTCTGAATAATAGACCCAAGATATCTAAAACGAGTACACTAATTAATGACTTGATCGCTCAAAATCACAAACCCGTCACTAGATCTATTACTACTAAAATTACACTCCATGAATTCAGCTTTAGATCTATTCAAATGAAAACCTTTAGACTCTAAAGTTGACCTCCATAGTTCGAGTTTACCTTCAAATCCATCTCTAGTCTTATCAACAAGAATAATATCATTAGCAAAAAGCATATATCAGGGTACATCCTCTTGCAAATTTTTAGTAAGAACATCCATGACCAAAGCAAAAAGATAAGGGCTTAAGACTGATCCTTGATGTAATCCAACTGAAATAGGAAAATACTTAGTCAAACCACTTTTTGTTTGAACACAAGTAACTACTCCTACATTCATATTCCTAATGACTTGAATATAAGCATTATTAACCTTTTTCTTTTCTAGAACTCTCCATAGCACTTCTCTTGGAACTTTGTCATATGTTTTCTCTAAATTAATAAATATCATATGTAGATCCTCCTTATTCTCTCTAAACTTCTCCATCAACCCTCTCAATAAATGAATAGCTACCATAGTAGACCTTCCTAGCATGAATCCAAATTGATAATGAGAAATATTACTATCACATCATAACCTATTTTAAAGTATGACACATCAACCTAATTCCTATATAATTCGCACAATCTTGTCAATCACCTTTATTCTTAAAAATAGGAATTAACACTCATTCTCCACTTATCTGGCATCTTTTTAATCTTCAAAATAATATTAAAAAGTTTAGTAAGCTAAGAAATTCATCCATCTAAACATTTCCACACCTCTATTGGAATATCATCAGATTCAATAGTTTTTCCACACTTCATTTTCCTTAAGGCCTCTCTAACTTCAGTTTTACTAATACGTTGATAAAAATAAAAATTTCTATTTTCATTTAGAGTGCCAAGGTCACTAAAGTCAATTGTATTCTTACAATTTTCATTAAAAAGCTTAGCAAATATCTCATCCACCTTTGTTGAATATCCTGTTCTAAAAAAAGCACTTTTTGATCTTCATTTTTAATGCACTTCACTTAAACTAAATCCTTACTACTATCTCTTTGTTTGACTAACTTATACATATATCTTTTGCCATCTTTAGAATCTAATCTATTATATAAATCATTAAAAGCTAAAATTTTTGCATCACAGATTGCTTTCTTAGACACCTTACGAGTCTTTTTATGTACCCACAAATAGGGAAAAAAATACTTATGAGCAGCCACAATTCTAGCTTAAAGATGAAAAGTTTGAAAACAAAACCTCCTAAGATTAGAGACAACTAAGAGGATTCACTGCATTCCAGTTTGTATGTTGCTGGAGAAAAAAAAAAAAACTGCCAGCCTGAAATCAGATTGTCCTCTATTTCCCCCATTGGCTGGAAATGAACGGATGGGTTGGAACCCCAACCAGCCTCTCAACCAGAGGTTTCTTTGGCAAGAGAGTTGCGTTACAATTTCTTCAAGAAATCGCTGCCTTGGTCTAGTTCTATTTCTTGAAATCACAGTAATGACTCGAATACCTAACACCCAACACTGCACAAGTAAATAGAAAGATTCAGTAGGTTATTTATTCAAGAAGTTTAAATGAAGCGAGAAGCAAAGAGAAAAACAGGGAACCTAATTTTGATACTTGCTTGAATCACAAGTTTTTAACTCGGGTAAAGATGACCTCTGGATTACAAAATGTTTGATTGCAAACGATTTCCATGTCCAATTCCTCCTTTGATGGCTGGTATCAATCCTGAATCTTGAATCACAGCAAAATATTTTGTTCAAGTCACTGGAACGGCTTGCCATCTCAACAAGGTAGGATTTTTAGGTATTTTGAGAATCTCAGCCTCGCCAATGAGGAATACATGCAATCTGAGAACTTCTTCCTCAAAGGTCAGCGTCCCAAGCCTTTCTGTTACTGGGAAAAACTGCCAGCAAGGAGAAAGGCGTCTAGGTAGGGCTAGGTGATCTTGGCAATCAATCTTGGTAAAGTTTTGGACTTCACTATTATTTCCTCACCACCTCACCTCACCTAAACTAGGGATTTCACCCTAACTCTCAGGATAACATGAAAACATACTTAAAGAAAAAACTCTCCTTCCCCACATAAGACTTAGATATTTATAGGAAAGGCCAAAGGTCTGAAAAGAAGCTAATTATTAAATTACCCCTAATAGAAAAAAGGCAAAGATGAGACTTAAATGAAAGAAAAAATAAATAAATAAACAATTACTACCCTTTCTAACCATGTCAATGCCAATACCTTGTAGGCACAAATTTGGAAGAGATCAAAAGCAATTTTCATTTTTAAGTGATCAGGTATAAACAATACATAACATGTTGTGGAAAATGAGAAAAATGCATTAGTAAACACTCCCTCAAAGACATGTGGTGGCACCCTTACTGAGTTCTCCTATTTTAAAATTAAATCTGCCATCCAAGTATGAAGGATTTATTAAAATGTTTTATTGTCATTGACAATTCTTTGTTTGTGTTGATTAATGAACTTCCAAGAAGGGGTTAATATTTAATAATTTTTTTCTAAACTCACATAGATGGCCCTTTAAATTCTTTAAAAAAAAAATAAAATTAACTGTCATGAAATTGGACATTTTTAATTAATTGAGTAAGAAGTCTTCTTTCTTGTCCTACATTTATTTAGGCTGCCCCCCCTTTTTTTTTATTTGTTTGCGACATAATACTTATCTTGAGGGCGAGGGTTGATCCCTGTAGAAAATAGTGTGATATTATTGCTTTTTTATAACCTCATTTTGATACTACGAATCCTTCTGAAATTAATTCCATAAATTTTATAATTGAATCTTCAATCCATCATCACATATAGTATTTTCAAATGTTGATCAAAGATATTGTCGGTGGTGGGTAATCTTTAGTTTGGCTAGTTGACAAGGCCACTATAAAGGTATATCATTGATCATAGTTTTATTGTGTAAGGGCATTGTCTTCACTATTCATTGCTGATAACTATGAGGAATATTTTGTATAACCATAAAAATTATAAAATAACCTTCATTATGTGAAG